AATCTGGCAGCAGCAACTGGTCGGCCGACCAGTAATACTAGCTGGCCGACCACTTTTTCTGGTTTCTCAGCACAGAAAGTGGTCGGCAAGTGGCCTCCAATGCCAACAGTTGGTCGACAGCATCCCTACAGGCTCCCATGATGGAGTTTCAGCTTTCTGGAGCTTTGAGCAGTGTTCTGGAAACAAGTGCAAACAGAGGCAAGTCGGGGCATCGCGATGGATTTCCGAGCGAGGCGATTCAAGCATGCATGCTTCCCTCGTCATAAGGCCATTTCAGTGCTTTTGTTAACTTAGAATAGTTGTTTGTTTCAATTCGTTTTGTAATAATTAATTAGCGTCTTAGTTAGTTAATTAAGTGATTTGTATTATTTACTCAGACCCTCCGTTGAGAGGGCACAACTGTTGTAAATAAGTATGCGTGTGTGTGATGCATGTCTTTCAACCCCCATTTCTTTCTCCCTTTTATTTACCAGCTTAGGATGGTTAGTTTTAAGGCATGTTTCAATTAGCATTCTTATGCTCGCATGTTTGCATCCATTCATTTGTCTTGCATGTACCAGGCTCGACGCATTATATTAACTGCATTGTATTTAAATTCCTGTTTGAATACATGTATCAAATTGCATTTTACATGACATTTTAGAATAGTCGAGCCTATCTTAGTTACATTTTGTATATGTTGCATTCGGCATTCTTGACATAGCTAGAATTATGAATTGATTTCTAACATAGTTTTTGTTTTGGCTCGGAGTACTCGGTGAGCGTTTATGCTTTAGCATCCTTGCATGTGTGTGAGTGACTGCCATGATAGCATGCTTGCCATGAGAGTAACTGCTTATGTGATATAACTGCCTGAATGCCTGTGGGTGAATGTTGGATTACTTGAATTGGAACAATTCATTGATTGCGAGTTTTAAGCCCATTTGAGAGTGGCAAATCACCGTGTTTTCTAAAGCCCACTTGAGGGTGGCAAAATCTGCATTTCAGCTTACTTGCGAGTAGCAAACCGCTTTAAAAAACAAACATGAGATGTTTTGTTCCAACTTAGGTGATCTAGTCTACACTTGTATGCCGTACGCATCACAGAGTAATTCTAGGTTAATAACCGGAGTAAGAGCACATGCGTTTTCAAAAATAAGATATCATGTTAGTAAAGGCCGATCTTTGATCGGGCGAGCGGGGGTGCACATTGCATGACCTTCTCCTCTCGTACCCAAGTTTCCGAGCCGAGGCAACTTTGGTGATGACGGACACGTGGCCTTAGGCACGAGTCAGGATTTCCTAAATTTTTCAAAAATAAAATATTTAGGTGGTGACTCTGTATCTGGCGAAGCAGTCCATGTTTGACACTTCTTTCTAAAAATCAATTTTTCAAAACGATTTGCCGGATTTGGACTCTTTGGTGATTTATCAATCTCGCATTGCACTTTGCAAGATCAGATTAAGAACCGTGACATTGAGTCCGAACTGTAGTGAGCCCAATGAACAAAACGGGATTTTCCTGGGACGTTCAAGCACGTCTACACTAGTATACCGTAGTGACCCCACGAAGATGGAAACAGGGCAGCCCGAGTGCAAGACACTCCATTTTTATCCATCTAGGTCATAGACCTGCCTTGGTCGCACAGACAGGACCAAGGAAGCCCCATTGGGCTTGGTACTAAGGCACAACATGGCTGATAGCAATCTTGGCTGTGGCCTTCGCCTTGGGAAGCTGTGGAGTTTATGGTTTGGTGACTAAGGGTGGAAGCTTCGCTGAGGTGAACGCGAACGTAGCCAATGGTAGGCTATAAAGTCCTGAGAATGCATGTCTTGGCTAAACTAAACTAAACTAAGTAGGCAAATGCAGCGGCAAACATTACCGCCGTAAGTGCACTTGCTGAGGTTCAAGTGGAGGAGGCAAATTGCAGTGCAAACACTCCAACCGCAAGTGCACTTGCAGAGGCATTTGTGCCAAACAGATAGTACATAGTACATGCAGAGGGACATGTGGCACTTTCAGCTTTGTGGCCCAAGACAGAATATTCCATGTGATTCTTAGGGACATATGTCGTCACTTTATTTGGCCACTTGGTATCCTTTGGTATTAAGGAAAAGCCTATAAATAGGACCCATTTCCTAAGGTCCAAAGGAGGCTGTTTGGAAAACTTGGGGAGATGTTGCTCATTTTTGTGCGCTATCATTCTCTTCTTCTTGAGCCACTTGCTCTACCTTCACCTAGCTGCTCATTCTCCAACTTTTCTAAAGTTTTGTTGACTCATTCTCCAGCCATTCCATATTTGTTGGACTATTAACATAGTTTTGCCTCTCTAATTATTCTCTTAAGCACTGCTCATATCGAACCTCCCCACACATGTATATATAGTTTGATTTTATTATTAGTCTTTGGTGGTCTATGGATTCTGGGTTTGTAGTTTAATTCGGAATTGTTTGACAATTTTGTGATATCATTCTTCGGTTTTTTTTCTTCTAAATTTTAACTTAATTTTTAATTTTTAATTTCAGATGATTATGGCATGTTTTGGTGTTATTGTTCAAAGCCATTTTTTTTTTTCCAGATTTGAACAGATCTTTCTCTTGAGGGAATAGCAATTTTCGACAGATAGAGGGTGGAGATGCAAATCTGGAGGAATTTTGGGATTTTGGACAGATAGAGGATTTTGGGATTTTGTATAGATAGATTTAAATATATATGGAAAAAAAATTTGAACAGAGATATTTCAACATATACAAGAAAAAAAAAATTGAATGAATAGGAAAAAAAATTAAAAAGATGGATATAATTTTAAATCGACAAGTTCAAAAAAAATTAAACAAATAAAAAAATTTTTAATAGATATGTGAAGGAGTAAAATTAAAAATAAAATGTCCTTTAAAATAATAAAATGTATTTCTTACTATAATATTTTATAAAGAGTATATTTCTCATCAAGAAAAAATATTTATGAGATTTAATGGCTTATATCTTCTTTAAATAGATTTTTCAATAATTTTTTTTATATCAAATAATATTTGTATTTGAGGAAAAAGACAAATAATTGAACACGTGCAAGTAGTATAGAATCCATCATTGTTGGTGCGTCGTCTTGACGCAATTAAAAAGAATAAAAGATATGACGAATATATCTAGGGAAACACTATACGTAAGTTATGTCTTCTGTATGTTCAAAAGGCAGTGTTTGATACAATTTTTGAAACATGATTTTATTTTTTAGTTTGAGTGTGGCGTTTATTTATAGTTTTTAAAAATTATTTTTACACTTACGTTTGAAAATTTATGTATTCGATCATCTCCGGACGTTCTCGGGACGTCCGGCCAGTTGACTGCTACAGTACTCGTGAATTTTTTTTTTATTTTGTGCACCTGTTATTTTTATATTTTAAATGAAAAATATTTTCAAAACTTTTTTTAAATTTTTTATGAGTTATGAATAGAATTTTGGGTTGCGTGTTTGGTTTTGAGTTGTAAATTTTTGTATCAAAAATTATGTCACATCACTCAATTCAAAAACTCTTTTCAAAATTTTTTTAAAACTCATTCACTAGACAAATTTTCTACACTCAAATCATAATTTCAAAACTCACAAACTCAAAATACAACTCATATTCTCAAATTATATTTAAAAAATTCTATTAAACGATACTTATGCCTTTTGTGACTCAATATTATAGGACTTCTAATTAAAAAAAATTAAAAATTGAGTTATAATTAAATATTTGTGATATTATTAAATAATTTTTAAATTATAATTAAAATTTTATTATAATTAATAGTGTTATATCTAGCAATATAATAAATCATAATTATTTATTCAAAAGCCCCCATATATTCATATATTCAAATTATCGTTACTATTATATGAAGTGGACATGTTTATTAGTACGTTGTCTTTATTTTTTCTTATATCAAGTGTCAACTTTTTTATTTTAAAATAAAAAACTAATTAGATAAAGAAGACATACGATCTTAGATTCAATAGAAAAAAACTCAAACCATTTGAAAAATACATACTATAGGATTATATTTTATTCTAATTTTATTTATTTAAATTGTAGCGCGGCTCTCATATTAAACGGTTTAAATTAAGTAGATGTTTGGCATGCATTAAAAGAGTATATTTTTTTTTATATACATATTCTTATTTGAGTCATATCAATTAACATCTATCAGTATCTTTTCTCTATTTTTCTACTCACTTTCTTTATTTTTTTACATTATTTTTTTATAAAAAGTTAAAAAATAAACTTATTTAGAGCATTCTAAACCATCCCTAAATCTAAAAGAGTAATAAATTAATGTATTTGATTTGAGTTTTTTGGATTAAATTTTTTGAAAACTAAATTTTTTTGATTTTCGTGTTTTTTTTTTGTTTTTATTTTTAGTAAATATTTTTAAAATTTTAAACATTTTTTTTATTTCTTCAGATATACCTTACTTAGATGTATCTAAAAAGTAAAAAAATTGTAAAAAAATATTTTAAAAAATTAATAAATACATAAAAATATAAAAAAAATGTACTAAATTATCATTTTTTTTATATTTTACATTTTTTTATATTTTTGGTATTTAATGAATTTTTAAAAGGTTTCTTTTCATAATTTTTTAACTTTTTAAGTATATTTATATTAAATATGTCTAGAAAGTAAAAAAAAAAAAAATTGCTTAAACTATTAAAAAAAATTAGTAAAATTTAAAAAAAAATACGAAAAACAAAAAACAAATTAAAAAATATTTTAAAAAAAATAAAACCAAGCCATATTACAAATTTACCAATTAATTTTCATCACATTTCACATAATTTCACGCTACATAAATTAATCTGTCCCACTAAATCATCCATCAAGAAAATTCTCAGTGGTAAGTCTGGATAAGCAGGACTTTCCCAAACCAAAAACCAAAATCACTTTGAACTCCCAGTGCCTTCCTTCCCACACGGTTCTTTGTTACACAGCTCCCCCCTCATACTTTTCTTGTTCTATATATACTTACATGTATCCCAAGCTCCTTCCGCCCGTTCCATCTCTCTCTCTCTCTCTCTCTCTCTCTCTCTCTGTATATGTTTATATCTGTATCTGTGTGTAGAAGGAAGGAAGGGATGTCGGACGAGGAGCATCACTTCGAGTCGAAGGCCGACGCCGGAGCTTCAAAGACTTATCCTCAGCAAGCTGGTACCATTCGTAAAAATGGTTACATTGTTATCAAAAACAGACCTTGCAAGGTTCTTCCCTTTCTTGCTTTTCTACTCTCTCAATTACTTTACTTATATATGTCTGTTGGGAAATTCTATGGTACTTACATATCCTCTAAATTTGTGTATATATGCATCCTACCATAAATCAGCGTAATTTTACTATAAATAAAATTTCGTAATATCAATCACAAAATCATAAACTCATTACAAATTGGTGTTACAATATTGTAACCAAACCACAAATAAATCACCAACTTTTGTTCCATGACCCACAAAATTGTAACATTTTGTTACGTTAATCTATGGTAAAATTATGTATTTTGTGGTTGATGTTATGCTAATTTATGGTAAAGTTATGGATTTTGTAATTGATGTTATAAAATTTTATGATAAAATTATACCAATTGTGGTAGGGTGCATATGGTGTGTGTCAACCGCTAGTAACTTATTAAATGTACTAATTAGTGTACAATTGTTTTTATCTTCTGTTCTAGTTAATCCGATGATTTTCTTAATTAGTTTTTAACAATTAATATTTAGTTATTGGCAAATTAAATCCGAATTCCATATTGGAGAGACCTACACCTTAGTTGTACCTCTAGTACTTTTTTCCATGTGTTTGGATGATTTCAAAGCTAAAGTTGATGGCTTTCAAAGCCCTTTTTACAGCTGAATTTTGTAGATTTTAAATCTTGTCAACTTGCCTTTATTTTAATTCTTTCTTACTGGTGTATGTGACCTGGTTTCTTCACTTTGATACAAGTCTGTATATGGAGAAAGTCAATCTAACTGGTAGAGTCATTTGTGATCCATGACTATCAGTACCTTAGTTGTGTTTTAATCTTTTCCTTCTTGTGGGTTATGTTAGGATTGTTAGAATCTTACAATTTACGATTTGATTTATATGATTCAATTTGTGGTGTTGAATCTTAAATTGGGTGAATTTTTTTATTCAATTGCGATTCAGTACGATTCATTGTGATTTTACAGGGGGCCGTCCCTAAGGTAAGGCGAGTAAGGCCGTCGCCTTGTGCCCCCAAATTTTGTCTAAAAAATAAGACTCCGAAATAATTTCAATCTTAAGTTATGTTTGGCTAATTATTTCAGTCTTAAGTTATATTTGGTTTATTAAAATAAAGTTAAATAGAGTAATCATTCCATCATAATATTCATTTCACGTTTGATTTACTAAAAAAATTTAAAACGAAATCAACATTCACCATTTTGAGGGAATAGTAATTTTATGACTAACAAATGACCATTTCATTCAATTCAATTCAATTTCATTTCAATGAACTAAACACTGCATTATAATATTAGTAGTTTAAAAATAAAATTTTAAACAAACAATTAAATTGGGGAATTATTTAAAAATAATGGATGATTGCTTGCTAAATATATGAATTATTTATAGAATATTGTTTGACTATACGAGTAACAATTGTTTCCGGAGAAGTTTTTTTTATTTTTTATTTTTTATTTTTTTAAAGTTGAAATTAATCAAATTTCACAATTTAATTTACTACGTTAGGAACAAAGTGTGAATAAATTATTAGTGGTAACAAGAAAAAAATATTAAAAATTTATCTCAATAATTATGATTTACGTAAATAATTATTTGTACCATATGTAACAAATTTGTGGAAGGTACAAGCAAAAATAAAAATAAATTATTTTACCAATATATATATATATATTAAAATACGTATGAGAGTAGAGGTCCCATCTTCTTAGTTCGCCTTAGGCTCCCAATAAGTCATGGCTAACCCGGGTGATTTACAATGATTCACTATGAGTCATTGTGATTCAGCGTGATTTATTTTTGTTTGTATAATACACGATATAAATCGTTTTTGCAAAAATAAAATAAGAGATCAATTAGTTATATTGATATTTATTTCACTTGAAATACTACGTGTTTATATATATATAATTATATGTTATGCTAAATAAAATGAATCATACAGTTCATGATTCAAAATTTTAGTAAAATGATTCATGATTCAATTCTTGATTTGACAACAATAGGTAGGGCTTTTATTTGTTTCTTTTGTGTTGATTGTGGCCTTGTTAACAACCAGAACCCAGATAATTGTTTAGTCTGTGTCACAAGAATGCCTCCTTATATGTGAAGTGTTTTTGGACTTTCTTACTAATATATGTAACTCTGATACAGGTTGTGGAGGTCTCAACTTCCAAAACTGGCAAGCATGGTCATGCCAAATGTCACTTTGTTGGTATTGACATCTTCAATGGAAAAAAGCTTGAAGATATTGTTCCCTCTTCCCACAACTGTGATGTATGTGCTTCCTTCTCAGTCCTGTGCATCCAAAAAATGCCTTTTAAGGATCATTTTTATGTTATCGTGGTTTGTTTTACCCCCTTTCTTATAACTAAGCTCTCAAATCATAATGACTTGTTCTCATGAATTGCAGGTTCCTCATGTCGCCCGTACAGACCACCAACTGATTGATATCTCTGAGGATGGATTTGTATATATACGAACTTTCTCTTGTTCAATCGCCTTGTTGCTTTTGGTGTAAATTCTGTTTTATACTATTCCCAATGTTATAGGTGAGCCTGCTGACTGAGAATGGTAATACTAAGGATGATCTGCGCCTTCCAACCGATGAAAATCTGCTTACGCAGGTTAGTAGATGTCATTCTCCCTTTCATTGTGGATGCTTATCTTTTACATGCATCTTTTATGAACATGTGCCATAGCATTGAATCTCTCTGTTGGCGTACAGCTCTGTTTTAATGTCATCATTTTTTTGTGGATCCAGTTGTTTGTTATGTTTCTGATGCAATTGTTGAGTTTTAATTAAAAATTTATCAGCAGGTTAATGAGTTAGTTAATAATATCTTCTGGATCCTACTTGCTAATCTGTTTACAGTATGATGCCAGACATTGATAATTGGAAAGTTAATGATCAAACTACTGTGAATTTGTTTTTGTACTTTTGTTTGTGATATTGATTCCTCTCTGCCTTTACTTAAGCGGAAGTTTCGTGCACTGGGTACACCATTTTTTTTATTGATTCCTCTCTGCATTGCTAATAGTCAATTGTTTGAATGCTACAGATCAAGGATGGATTTGGCGAGGGGAAGGACCTTGTCGTGACTGTGATGACTGCCATGGGAGAGGAGCAGATCTGCGCCCTCAAGGATATTGGCCCAAAGTAACTCCCTGAAGCTTTGGAGATAGCTAGGGGATTTCAATTTCAAAGTGCAATAGAGATAATAATAGCTATAAGAGGTTTTGGTCTGGTTTGAGGACAAAGGCCCACCATTTTGAGAACTGTCTACTATTGGATGGATTTCTTAGCCTTCCATCTAAGACAAAAAATTTCATTATTAGGGTTTTATAATTATAATTTTTCTTTTTGCCTGTTTGGTTACTGCTTGAACAATGTTGGGGAATTGATTTTCCAGCAAGACTGTAAGACACTTATTTTGGACCTTGGATTGTTGTGGGTATCATGTTTTATTGTTTGATGAGATGAAACATTGCATAATGGAGAATAACAAGTGGTGACTGACAGTTGTCCAGTTGTTTGATAGTTGTGATCAAATCATAGTAGCTCAGAGTATCTCTAATCCTAATCCTTCATTTATTTTTCCTTTCGTCAAATTTAAATTTAATGAAAAAAATACTCAAAACTCATCTCTAATTTTTTTAATCAAATTAAGAATTTATTAAATTCTTCATTAAATTGGAATTTAATGAAAATCTAAAAAGATGAAGCATTGTAGATATATATACATATATTATCAAATTTGATGAAAAAAAAAATTGGGATAAGAGGGGAATTTTTAAAAGGATTTTAATGAAAATTGAATGAAAGAATTTGACTAGGTCATATCCAATCAAAATTTTTATTTAAATTTAAAATTAATTTAGATAAAAAAAATTAGGGAGATTGGCGATTGTGATATGAATGTTAAAAACGTCCCTACACCATTGCTTGCTGTCTATGTGATGAATGTGCCAACTATGGAACTTTGGACTTCGGGTCACTGCTGTGGCAAACGCACAGCAGTGACTGTTGTGCTTCATTTTGTGATGTATTATGCGCTTATTTTTATGATTTGAACCGTTCATTTTGTAGAATTTGTTGAGTACTTAAAGCTTACCAAAAATCATATTAATCGGATATCAACAACTATATGATCGAATTGCATATTTTTATACTATTTTTCAAAAGAAAAACTTCTTGTTTGTTTTTTTGGTTATCAATCATATAGTTATTGGTATCCGATTAATATGATTTTTGGTAGGCTTGAAGTACACAACAAACCTTATAAAAATAATCTCATAATGCATCACAAAATGAAGCACAACAGTCACTGCTGTGCCTTTGCCACAGCAGTGACCCCAATTCCTGGAACTTTGCTTCAACGAATATTATGATGATAAAGTTGGATTTGGTGCTTTAAGACCGTTGGGATCTTAGGTTTGTTGAGGATGGACTTTATGAACGGTAGGATTACAAATTTAAAATTATTTATATAGAATTTACTTAAAAATAAGAATTAATTGTTCACATTCATTTTATATAGAATTTCATATTTCATCAATTCAATTTTTATCACATATACTCATTCTGAATAAATTCTAAATCTTTAATTATGGACCCTAACATTTTTTCATTGGGTAAATTACAAATACACCCCTTGAGATTTGATTAAAATACGAATCGCCTCCTGTGGTTTTGAAAATTACATTCCACCCCTGAGATTTCTAATTTCATCACAAATCGCCCTTTTTATTAATAAATCATCAAGTCAATTAACAGTTTTTAATGACGTTAAAAATATGTTTTAATTAATAATTTAGGTAATTTTATTATTGTATAGGAGAGCAATTATGAATTTCATTTTTTTAGTTACTTCTGTTAAATAAAAAAATCTAATAAGGGGATATTTATAATCTTATAAACTATAAAAAATAATTTATATTTTACACAAATCTCAATAGGTATATTCGTAATTTACCCCTTTTCATTTATGAAAGTAAAGAAAAGTGAATTGAAAGAAGATAGTGAATATATGTCAGCACCAAAAGGGGAAATTTAATAATGTGTTTATGGTGGGGAAAATTTTATAATACATACTTTAAAAAGAAGTATATCATATTATTTTGATTATAATTAAAGAGATTTTTAATTACATCTCAAATGATATTTGGTTATAACCCTTTTATTATGATACATTGTAGCGTTAATTATGACTTAGTATGACGTGGTTATGCCACAAAAATATTTTTCGTTATGGTGACAAAAAGTAATTTGATTACGACACTTTGTGATATCAACACCATAATTGCAAAATATCATAAATTATCTATAGTTCACCTCTTTTTAAGAGGTGTATTGTAGCATTAGTGATGCAACAAGAAACGCAAAATAATAACAATTTTAGAATTCGTTATTGAAAACTCAATATCAAAAATAAGATTTCTTTATAGACTCGTTGATTCACAAAGAATATTGAGAATAAAATCTTAACAATAGTTGATTCTCAAAAAATACCTTAGGCTAGAACAAAAAATATATGAAATTCGAAATATATTAATTCTAAAAAAAACTCACTTTTGCCCTAAGGCTTAAATCTTTACTTATAATGAACCCAATTATTCTAGAACAAGAAACTAATAAAGCAGGAAATAAAATCAAAACTAATAAAATAAGAAAATTGTATCATATCAAATCAAGAAACTAAATAATTAAATAATTCTATAATATTCTATACTAAATTAGAGTATTTTCGTACTCAAATATTAATTTTAAAATAAGAAAATAAAAATATTTATTTTTAAAATTCAATTTGCATCATTCTTCCCTCTTGAGAATAACTCATCCTTGAGTTTTCAGTGCTTGGAATCACTTGGCACGTTCACATTGGTCCGCATCCGCTTTGTATTTAAGATTAACTCGAATCTAAATTTTAAAGAAGAGTCTTAAAAAATGAAATGAACAAATTTCTTCAATAAATTTAGGATAACTTACGCTTTGCACCCCTGCACTTTGAATCAAATCCCATTTGGGCCCCTTACACATAAAATCATGACAATCAATCCCCTACATTTCTGGTAAATCTCACTTTGGTCCTTGCACATAAAATTATGACAGTCAACTCCCTGTACTTTTGGTCAAATCTCACTTTAGTCTCTACACGACTGTCAATGTCTCATTTCTGTTATTCAATTGTTTAAATGTTTAACAGAATCTAATCATGTAATAAGAATGTGACTATGACATTAGGGTAAGAAAGAAAATCATCTACATTTTTTTACTAATACATAATTTATCCTAAAATTTACATCAAAATATGATTGTATTAGGCTAAAATAAAATGTAGATTATGAACAATTAAGAATATGAACTAGCATTTTGCATAAATTGAAATCATGAAACGCTATTTTTTACGATAACATAGTCTTCTGTCTATTCATTTTTCTTTCTCTTTGATTTCTTTGTCATATTTTTTATTATTTCAAAAGCTCTACTTTCTTGGTGGAAAAAATGGTTTTATGATGACTTTAATATGAAATTAAAGTAGGTCCTAATCACTAATTGAGGTGGGATTAAATAGGTTTAGATTCTTTGTATCAAGATATTTACATCACAAAAAGAATGACAAAAAATATTAAGAATTAGATGAGAAATTGTCTCATAAAGTTAGCCTCACAAATGAGGTATTGGAAATAGTGTATAACTATCAATTGCATATTGATTGTAGAGGAAGGCATTGATGGGTATTTAAATTCCAAGTTTTGGATAAGGGCATCAGCCCTTTGGGGTGTCCAAATTTTTTGAAGGAATGAAGTTATGGATGCTTCAAGGATAGGCTTCGGCCAAAACTATGGTTCAAATTAGTTATGCAAAATTGATACATGCACGCGTGCGCTGCCCGGATTGCGCCGAGTCTGGGTCCGGGTTAGAGTTCGTGATCCTTGGGTTGTGGGTCGCAGATCTTGGGGCTTGAGGGTTGAGGTTTGGGCTGGGTCGGATTGATGGCTAATCAACCTAATCTTTTTTGGATTAGGTTGGCTGCAGATATACACACGTGTATATAAAGTGTATAACTTATACACTAATCAGTTTTGCAGAAGTTATTGGGCAGATTTGACTGCATTTGTTGCCAGCCTTCATGGCCGGGAGGCTTTTCATCTCTCCTCCATTGTATATAAAAGGAGGCCATCTTCCTTGGTTTGAACACAAAAATTCTATGCTCTCAGATTATAGTCAGTCTGCTCTTATAATATATTCTTCATGCGTGAGAGATTGTTGTCGTTGTCAGTTCGCCGGAGCTAATAGAAAGTGCTTTTGCGTTAGCAGGTTTTAAACTATCGTATCTTGGGAAACAGATATCGATATATCCCACAATGAGGCAGCGAATCAATTTTAAGGAGACTGTTGTATCACACAAGTTTCGGTTTGGCTCATTGTCTTATTTTAATCTTGTACTTTGATATATATATATATATATATTTCTGTTCATCTTGTTGTTTAGTATCATGATTTCTTGATATGTAATTTAATTTATTAAATATGAATCTGTTTGTTTTTATTTAATTACACAATTTGTACAACAATCTTAAAACAGATTATATGTTTCCCATAAAATTAGACAAATAGATTCATAATAATTTGTACTATAAATTTCCCACTGTGTGAGTTATCTGCTTTTGCATCTGTTAGTTGGAAAAATTACATACGTGTACTCTGAAAATTGTAAAATTAGCTGTGATTAGGACCCCCTCATACCCACCCCCACCACCCCCACACACACGTGGGGTCGGTGAGTGGGAGAGAAGAAAAAAAAAAAAAACAATTTTGACCAATCAAAAGGCAAAGGAGATCGTGGGGTACCTTTAAAAGGGGGACTAAGTCTTTTTTGTTGTAAAATTGATTAGCGCACTGTATTCGTACTAGGCTTCTGGTAATAATATGAATAATAATAAATCAGATTCATGATAGTGTATTAGTTTGACTTTTCCTGGGAGATTTATACATTGTATAGGTTCTTTGTTTTGGTAGATTAATGGAATAATGCCACTGTTTCTTTTATGCGGAAATACATGATTAGGAATTGCAGCATCCATACGCCCACTGTTGCATACATGAAGTTCATGATTAGAATTCAAATTTAAGTAAATAAATATCTTCCTCGTGATATTTGCTTCTAGTTTGTTTTTTGCATGATAAGAAAGTTATGCTTAGAAATTTCAGAAATAAATTTTCTGCTTTTTTGTTATGAGCATGATTTCTAATTTCTTACCATGATTTACATGCTTCTTTATTTTATAATTTTAGAATATAATTTGCATGCTTATGAGTGTTTAAATGTTTAATTAGAATTGACTTGCTAATTATTTTATACTTTTCTAGTATAATATACATGTTCATTATTTTCTAGATCCTAATTTAATTCACATATTTATTAGATCCTAGATTTGTAGGATAATTTGCATGTTCTAAATTTTCTAGATTTTAGTTTATGTTACATGCTTATTAGTTTCTAGAATTATTTGCATGTTGATTGCTACAATTATTTA